CCGCCTGCGCCCTCCGCCTGCGCACCCCCCCCTCCCCAGCCCGAGGCCTCTGAACGGCAGCGGCAGCAGGAAGCCAGTGCGGCCTCTGCTTAGAAAACTGACTCTGCAAGGGCGTGCAGCTCAGCGGCAGACTGCGTGTTTCGCACGAGGTCCTGGGTTAGCTCCCAGTACCTCCACTGGAAAAACAAAACGAAAAGTTTTTTAAAAAAATTGAATTTGCAGTTAAAAGCCTTCCCACAAAAAGACAGCTCCCGGCCCAGTGACCTCTCCCAACATCTGAGGAGGCAGTAACACTGGCTCCGTACAGACTCCCAGGAAATAGAAGAGGAAGGAGTCATTTCAGCTCATTCGACGGAGCCAGCACCATCCTGAAGCCACGGCCAGACAATTTTCTTATTACCAGAAAATAAAATTACACACTAACATCCTTGATAAACACAGATGCCAAAATCCTTAATAAAATTTTAGCAAATCGAACCCAGAAATATACAAAAAGGATAACATTTCATGACCGAGTGAAACGTATTCCAGGAATTCAAGGCTGGAACAACGACTGAAAACCAGCATAACCCGCCGCAGCAACAGACTAAGGGAGACAAACGCAAAGATCAGCTCTTAAGAAAGAAAAGACGTCCGAAAAAACTCAACACCCATTCGTGATTGAAAAAAAGACCCTCTCAGCAAACTGAGGATGAACAGAAACATTCTCAAATCAATTAAGGGCATCTCTGAAACCCCTGTGGATGACGTCATACTTACTGGTGGAAAATGGAATGCTCTTCCCGCAAAGACTGGGACTAAGGCAGGAGTATCAGCTCTTGCCGCTTCTTCTGAACTTTCTTCTGCAGGTCACAACCCACACGATCAGTCACTGAACAATAAGTAAAAGGCAGACAGCTCGTAAAGGAAGGAACGTCCCTTCTCACAGACTGCACAGTCCTCTTTGTAGGAAAACCTAAAGACTCTACAAACCCAAGGAGAACTAATAAAGGGGCTTAGCAAAGTCATAGGATACAAAACCAATATACAAATACATTAATTGCGTTTCTATAGACTAGCAACGAGCAACTGGAAACAGAAATTTTACAAAATGACCATTGACCATAGCATCAAAAATCATGAAATGCTGTCCCTTACAAAAACATATATAAGATTTGCATACTGGAAAATACCAAACATTGCTGAGAGAAATTCAGGAAGACTCGAATAAATGAAGAGATACCCCTTGTTCACGGACAGGAAGATTCAATGTTAAGATGTCTTTTCCCCCCAGATTAATGTATAGATTCAACTGAAATTCGATCAGAATCTTAGGAGGCTTTTTTTAGTAGCAGTTGGCAAACTGATTTTAATATTCAAATAAAAATACAATGAACCTACAATACCAAACATTTTTGGAAAAGAATAAAGTTGAAGTCCCATTACCTGATTCTAAGACTTAGCTGTAAAGCTAGGTAACCAAGAGGCTACACACAGCATCGGCATAAACACGGACAGAGTAGAGTCCAGAGAGAGACATGGCGTTTACGGTCAAAGGTGCTGGAGTAATTCGGTGAAGCAAGGATAGTCTTTTCAGTAAATGATACTGGAGCGACTGAAGGCATCTCCCGCTGTGCCACGTGTGCACCAAGTTAGCGCTCCTGACCATTTTAACAATATTGATTCTTCCAATCCAGGAGCATGGGATAGCTTTCCATTTTTTTAAAGTCTTCTTTCATTTCCTTAATCAGTTTTTTTATAGTTTTCCATGTATAAGCCTTTCACTTCCTTGGTTAGATTTACATGACGGAAAAGTCTGATATTCGGACTTCATCAAAATTAAAAACGTCTGCTCTCTCTGAAAAGCCATGAAGAAAACGGGAGAGCAAGCCACTGAATGGGAGAAAATACTTACAAAATGCGTATCTTTGAAGGACTCATCTCGGAATGTAGAAGTAATTTGTAAAAGTCTATTTTTTAATCACTATATATAAAAATAGATATAAAACAAATTTGTGCTGTACAGCATAGGAAAGTATATTCAATATCTTGTAATAATCTTTAAGGGAAAAAATATGAAAACAAATGTATGTGTGTACATGCATGACTGGGACATTGTGCTGTGCACCAGAAACTGACACATTGTAACTGACCGTACTTTAAAAAAATTATTAAAAAATACAAAAATTTTTAAAAGTCAGTTTTTTTGGGGGGGAGATCATTAGGTCTTTTTTAAAATAATTTTTTGGGGGGGAGGTAATTAGATTTACTTATTTATTCTTGGAGGAAGTACTGGGAATGGAACCCAGGACCTAATGCAGTTATGCATGTGCTGTGCTACTTAAGTTATACCCTCCCCCTAAAAAAGCCAATTTTTAATGAGAGATTGTAACAGGTGATTTATAAAAGAAGACAGCAAAGAACCCATGAAGAGATGCTGACCATCATTAGTTACCAGGGAAACAAAAGCGAAAACCGCAGCAGGGGTGGGGAGGACACAGCACAGCGGTAGCGTGTGCTCAGCGTGCACGAAGTCCTGGGTTCAATCCCCAGTGCCGCCATTAAACAGACAAACCTAGTAACTTCCCCCCTCCAAAAAAAAACCCCCCAAAATAATAAAAATTAAAAAACAAAAGAAAACAAAAAAAAAATCGACGAACCAGAGAGGAGGAGGGTGTAGCTCAGTGGCAGAGCACGCGCTTAGCATGCAGGAGATCCTGGGTTCAATTTCCAGCAACCCTATTAAAAAAACAAACAAACAAAAAAGAAACTAAAAGAAACCCAACGAACAAGAGCCACCTGGTCAGCACGAACCCAGCCCCAAAGCACAATGTTGAGCAGAAGAGCAGCTGCTGGCAGATATATCATCGGCCCTGTGCCTTGAGAGCACGCCTGCCACGGACCTCAGGCGTCCTCTCCACAGTCACTCACGTGTAACCGGGGTAGGAACACCCAGTGCGGGGCAGTGGGTGGCGTGGGGGGCGGGCGGGCAAGGAAAAGGAAAGACCCCTGAGGGCCGCGGTCTCCTCTCTCGCCGCCCCCCCCCACCGTCGTACCTCCTCCCGGCGCTCAGCACAGCCCGTCGCCCTAAGGGCACACCCACCTGCCAGGTCCTCGGTCTCTGCCGACGTCCGCTGCCTTCTGCGTCCCAGCGCCCAGGACGGCGCCTGGCACACAGCAGGGGCTCATGAACATGCGCTGGAGGAATGGATGCAAGTCCTGATTTGTGCTGGGAGCAGCACACGTGATTCATGAGATACCTCCCGTTCTGTTTTTGTGCTGAGCCTTCAAAATCCAATGTCTTCTCGACTGGACGGCACCCCGCTCTGTGCTGGGAGGCTCAGCCCCGGAGCTTCTTAAGAAGGGCCTCGTGGGAGGCAAGCCGCGTCCTCTGGTGCCTGCCCATCTCCTGGAGACCGAGGTTCGCTTTCTAGAAACCCCCAGTATCTTCTCCTTCTGATGACACTGAAATTTCACAACAATGCAACATCGTGGGGTTTTTGAATCCGTTCCTTGGTCTGCAGTTTTTATTGTGCTGGGAGCTTGGCAGCTCTTCCACTATGGAGGTTCTGGGAAGAGCCCTGTACTATTTCTTCACACTGGTCCTCTGTCTCTTTCTGGAACCTCTGTCCCTTGTCAAGCACTAGACCTTCCGCAGAGACCCTCCACCATCCCTCGTCTTCTCTTCCCCGGTTTCTGTCTCTCAGATGTTTGTTCTTTCTTCTGTGAGTTCCTCAACTCATTCTTCCAACCCTTCTATTAAGTTTTAACTTTTTTCAGATACTGTATTTTGGACTCACAAGGACTCTTTCTTGTTCTCCGAAGTGGGTCTCACGGGTGCCTTGCCCCTTCCTGTCCGAGGTGATCCCGGTGCTGAGAGCGTCTCTGTAGCTTTCTCCTGGCCCCCACTCACTGTCCTCCTGTGTCCGCTCTTCCGCTGGCTCTCGGTCTCTCCTACGTCCGAGCGAGGCCCCAGGATGCAGCTTGGTGCCCATGCCATGGGCCTCTGGCTGCACCCTTTTTGATTCCTGTAGCCTGTGAGTGGTTGAGGAAAGCCTCGTAGATCCACACAACAGAATACCAAGTACCCAGCTCTCTGTATTTTCTGCTCAATTCTGCTGTGAACCTGAAACTGCTCTAAAAAATAAAGTATTAATTAAAAGAAAAATTTGCCAAAAAAACCCCCAAAGCAATACCAAGTGCCCAAGGTGCTTAGAGGACCTGTTATTAAGATGGGGAAATGAACGCTTATGTCACCAGCTGCGCTGAGAAAAGCTGGATGCAAAGCTCTGCCAAAAGCAACACACTGCCAACGCATAGTAAAGGGGCCCTGTGACGCCAGCAGCTGCTCCGGCCTCCTTACCTGCAGCCCTGCAGTTTCTGGGCCCTGGCGCTCCCTCCCCAACCCCCGGTCCCTCTGCTCTGGGGTTCTGCCCAGCGCCACTCAGCCTGGCCACTCCTTTCTCGGCCACCTGTCATCTCCCGCCAGAACTTGAGCAGCAGGCAGGCAGGCAGGCAGGCAGGCAGGCACCGGGCCTCGTGGGCAGTACCAGCTCGCAACCCTCGATCAGATGCCTAAACGGAGCCCTGCTGGTGCTCCCTCCGGAGCCCACCGCACAGACAGGCAGAGAGCACCCCCGTACCTTGGGGGAGAAGCAGGCAGACGGCAGCCCTCTCACCCGGGCCTGCCCTGGACCCAAGGGCCGGCACACTTCCAGGGAGTGCGGCCTCCATCGGGACCCCTGGGGACTCGGTGGTGGACCAGCCCCTTCTTCAGTCCACAGGCGTCCTGTGCTCCGTGAGGAGGCCCAGCCCCTCCAGTCCCACTTCCCGCTGTTTATGTCTTATGAATTCACTTATGCACACAGAGGGGGCCCAGCGCAGGGAGGGGCCCTCACCCTATCTGTTCCTCCCCCTCCACTCCCCACTGTGTCCACACATCTCAGGTATGTTCTCCCCACATTTCAAACACTCCACGTGTGTCCTGTCACACCTCTTCCCTCCTGGAACCCAGCTCGGCCTCCCAGTGCCTACCCCAGACTGCTGGGCCTCCACCCAACCCGAACGTACTCAGGAAAACAAGGTCCAGAGAGGGAAGGGCCTTTCTGAAGATCACACAGCCGGGAGGACCCTCCCAGCTGCCCAGATCCACCCCATGTGCATGAAGAACCGGGAGCATCTCTCCGATCCTCACAGCCCCCCAGAGCAGTCCCAGTCCCCCCCTCACAGGCCAGAGTGGCCCAAGATCACAGCCACGGGGAGAGTCGCAGGCACCTACCCAGATGGGTGCTGCCTCTCTCCCAGAGGTGGGGGGAGAGCTGGAGGAGGGGGGCGGGGGGGGAGAAGAGGGGGAATGGGGGACTTAGGGCACCAGCCTCAAAGGCTGCCCTCCCCCAGCACGTGCGAGGACAGTCTTTGCAAGCAGCACCAGACCTTCTGACCTTTGCCTCTGTCCTTTGCCTCCAGCCTGTGCAAAAACCAAGACAGAAAGGCTGCTCTGAGGGCAGGGCTTCAGGAGGCCTGGTAAGAATGGGGGTCTGAGGGCACCCCAGGAGCGCCCTCCTCTGGGGCCTTCAGACAGTGGCAGGGCAGGCATGCGGAGGCCAGGTGACAGAGCAGGAGTTACCTGGGGCATCTCGAGGGCCCTGGGGCCAGCTACAGCTCTGCTCTTGGGGCTGGAGGGCGGGAGAGCTGTGGACGGCGGGGATTACCGGTCCCAATGTCCCCCTGAAGTAGAAGCAGAGTCGGGAGAAGGGCCCCCAAGACAAAGGGCAGCACCTAACAAAAGAGCTGACCCAGCGGGCTGGGAAGGGCACCCCAAGGTGATGGTGGCCCAGATGGTGGTTGACAGCGGAAAGGAGGCCCAGACGGATTCCAGAGAAACGCGACACGGTGAATTAGGATGTGGTGATGCCCTGGAGACCTCAGGAACCCTGCCAGGTGTCTAGTAGGTGGGTGGGCAGGGGAAGTGCGTCCAGGAGGTGGGAGCGGGTCAGGGGAAAGGGATCCCGGTGGGGGCCTGGGCATGTGGCAGTGGAACACAGGGAACTCTCTGAAGAGAGGAAATGGTGGGGGTGCCAGCCTGGAAGCCATAGCCATGAGAGAACTTTCCAGAAGGAGTACTTGACCACGTGTGTCCTGGGAAATTGAAGGCCAGGGAAGATGAGGACCCAAAGTGTCCACAGGGTTTGGTGACCCTGAGGTCACTAGGGGCTGAGCAAGGACTGCTAGGGTGTGCATGTTGAGGGGGGACAGGTGGCAGGTGAGGAAGAGAAGGGGTCCTACAACAGGGGCTGAGACGCTGGCTTCAGACGTGGCGTGGGAGGCGAGGACGTCCTCCTGATGGTGAGTCTGGGAGCAAGAGTCTGGGAAACGACTGAGCGACCCCTTGCAACAGGCCCTTCGGAGGAGGAGCGATGGGGGTGCCAGCCAGCAGGGAACAGGAGGGACGCGTGTAGGTGCTGGATGAAGGGTGCTGAAGGGGGCTTCAGGGAGATGACCCGGGGCAGGCGGAACCCAGGGTTAAAGGGGCACCTCGGGGATCTTTCTTCCCTGCCTGGCCTCGGCTCAGCCAGTGCAGGGCCTTGGCCCCGGACTCCAGTGCAGCCTGCTCTGGCGCGGTGGAAGGGTCACTCCGGAACCACGGTGCGGGGAGGCGGGGAGTGGTCAGTCTTCCCAACAATTGGCGTGGCACCCGGGAAAGAAGCGCTGAGGGCCTGGGAACGCACAGGGAGCGAGACGAAGGGGTGCGGAGCCGCAGCCCCCACCCCCGGCCGCGCGCCCGCCGCGCACCCCACCTGTCCATCCCCGGCTCCTGTCCCCGCCGGGAGCCGCAGTCTGCCGGACGCGGGTCGCCGGGGCGGGGTCCACGGGGCAGGAGTCTTCGCGGCCGGAGTCGCAGGTGTCCGGCACAGGGGCGCGAGGAGGGGTCTGCGGCAGGGGCTCCGGGGCCCGGAGTCGCTCCCCGCGGCGCGGCGGGAGGACCGAGGCGCGCAGAGGGGCGGGCGGGGACCCTCGGCCGCCGCTGCCCC